TGCATCCTGGACAAGCATCCCAAACAGCCTCATGCAGAAGTTAATAATGCGTATGTCAAAGTGAATTTCCAAAGTAATTCACAAATATGAAGGATGTACTGAGAATTAAATTATTGTTCTAACTTATTTGTTTTGTATTTGCTATTTTTATTTACATCGTCTTATCTTTATGACCCCCGCAAAAAATACATTTTTCAATGTTTGCTTAAATTAATCAATTAAAAGCTTAAAATGTTCGCTTGTTTGTTGATAAACTACATTTTCTAATTAAATGTAAATGTTTCGCAAATATATTTCGATTAAAGTAACAGTATTTTATATAATTTTAACCTTTTTGTATCTGGTCTTAAGATTTTGACCAGGAGAATATATTGTTAACGATCACCTCTAAAAAATGGCTACAAAAAACTGCACTCTATCCAACAGCCTCAAGAATAATTTGAAACATAACCGTCACCACTCACCCAATAAACGATAGTATAATTGACCTTCTTTACCAAAATGCACCATTGGCCTACATATATGAATAATGGAGTCAAAGAACAGACTCGTGGCTTGAAGATTGCGTTTAAGCATGAAACAGACTGTCAAAGACGGGCGTTGACCTCCATTTACAATTTTATATTTACATACGCTCTATTCCTGATACTGAACTCTTTAACCAATCAATGTATACCTTATGACTATATTTTTATTATATATATATATATATATATATATATATATATATATCATCGCTCATTGGAATTTCACGCCTTAAGCGATCATGAAAGAAGGCGCCAAGCAACAGGGCAGTGTCGATTTCTTTCACAACCACATAGTCCCAATCATCCATATTGAGTTTTATGCCTCTATAAATATTGTAAGTTATATATATATATAAACTAACAAACCAACAGAATGTTGTTAAAGTTAAAAAATAACATATCAAATATATTTTATAACCCCAAAAATGCGACATAACAGCTGAAAGAGACACGCGAAGATAAAATGATTTGAAAAACAGACGCAAGATTTGAATAAACATGAAGCTTTGCACATAAAAACACAATAAATACATATAGTCCGAACATTATCAAAGAAAACACTTTGGTAATGGCTATTGAAAACCGACATTACTAAAACATCCGACAAATAATATTTAAATTTACACTGGAAACCAAGAAAATCTGAAATTCTTAATAAAGAACTGTTTTTTTTAGCAAATGTGTGTAAGAGTATCTATCTATCTATCTATCTATCTATCTATCACTTACAATATATATATGTAAGGCGTAATAATTCTCTCAAACATGTTCGGTTTAATAGTTCTGTCAAATTTTTATTCAAATTTTCAAGTTTCCGAATTAGTTTTGTATTATTGCGAAATTTGCCAAAGTTCATATTTATTTTTATCTCATGTTTTCCAAGTACTTTCGAATGTTGCTCCATTCGTTTATAGATTTACGCAACTGTTTTTTGGTTAAATCTGGCGTTCTGACTTTTCATGGAACCAATTTCATGTTACTCACGATGACGACATATAAACGGTGTTATGTTTCTTTTACTTATATCAGAAATAGGATTTAGAATTTCCTGGTCGTTTTCAGAAGTAGTATACGATTTTAGTTTGTCTTCAGTTTTATTTCTGACTATTTGGAGATATTTGATCGGATCCTTGGATGTTTGGACTTTTCTCTTTCTAGGAGAGAACGTCGACATTTTGTTGTGTTAGCGTCTTTGTCCGCCTCAAGGCCATATAATATACATAAGGCGTATTTAAGCAGCAAGAATTATTTCAAACATGTTTTATCATCGACATGATACAAAAAATGGATAGACAGAACATGTGCATATTCTTCAACTAAACATGAAGATTGTATCTAACCATGAAACCGACTGTCGCCGATCAGTGTTGACATCTGTGTCCACTTTTATAATTTTATACTTCCTATCCTTTTAGTCATAAATATAGCATAACATAAAACTATATACATATAAAATTTCAGATGTCACTAAAATATATATCTTTCTATGAGAGAACACCTAATTCGAAAATTTGAAAAATTAAATATTAATATTGATAGACAGAACATTTCCATACTATTTAACTGCAGCCCCCATTTATATATATATATATATATATATATATATATATATATGAATATATGTGTGTGTGTGTGTATGTGTATTTAGGTAGCAATCCTTCAATTATGCATGTTTCATTAAAAACGACAAACTAGGTACTACGATTAAGTGTTTCCTTTTTGGGACGCAGAATGTGTAGAAACTGGCCAAATGTTCTATAATTCCGAGCACTTTCGGCTATACTTTTAGCCATTATCAAGGATGATTTTATTTTCTCAATTTAATTGGGTGCGTGTGCTGTGTGTATGTTTTTAGTGTTATAGAGATATTTTATTTTCCGAACACAGTTAGCACATTGTGGCCGTGTTCGTAGTTAATATTATTATTTTTGGCTTTTTCTATTTTATTTTTAAATTTTCCATTATCTTTTTTTTTTTTTTAACTGGTGGATGAGGTTATTATGTTTGTATTTTTCTACTAGTATGTTTCGGATGGAGTCTGGTAAGTTTGTGTGTGTATATAAATCATCCTTGATAATGACTAAAAGTATAGCCGAAAGCGCTCGGAATTATAGAACAGTTGCAGAGTTTCTACACACTCCAAAAGAGAAAAGACTTGTTCGAACACAAGAAAAATTAAATAAAAAGCTTAATCATAGTACCTTGTCTATCTATATAATATGTATTTCACCATATAAGTACCATTTTACAAACATTATGGTACCATTAACAACAACTGACAAGGTACTGGGTTTAAGTTTTTGAATGTTTTTGGTCTACTTATGATATTTTTGCATTTCTGGACATAAATTATGTAGAAATTGTCCGAATATTTTTTTATGTTCATTATTTATAGCCTTTTTTTGCATGTAGATGAGGCTATTATATATATATTATCTAGATATGTATAATAGAAATGTAATAACCTCATCTATATGTAAAAAAAAAGACAAAAAATAATGGGATCATTATTAATAAAAAAAGAAAAAAGTTAACATTTAGTAACATCAACTATGAACACGGCCAACATATGCTGACCGTATTTGGAAAATAAAACATTCCTATAATTGTAGATGTTAGACATTTTGACGGTCGTCTTCGAGTATAGAATCCAGAGGTTAGCAGTGAATATTTCGGAGACAGTAGGAAAGCGTAGTTCAGGTTAGCAGTGGATATCGCAGCAAAGTAGCAGAGCGTAGTAGTTCCTTCTGTTCATCTTCGCCTGACAAGTTGGCACTGGTCATTCGGGTAGGGTAAACAAAAATGGCCGCCTTTATACACGACGGATACAATGTTCTGCGGCTTCTGATAGGTTAACCTTCTATTGGTAGACTATAAAGGGAGTTAAGTCATTTTGACTAACTCACTAGTTACGTATATATATACACAAAAAACTGTATCAGTAGATACATGCATAAAACAATATAAAATCATCCTTGATAATGACTAAAATTATAGCACATTCGGGCAATTTCTACATAATTTATGTTCAGAAAAAAAAATATATATGGTGGACTCTCCTGTCGTATTCGACGTATGAGTGTCAAGCAGCTAAGTTCCTAGGAACCGACAGGCCAGACACCAGCACATGAGATTTGATTATAGTGGTAAAGGTTTTGTGTAGAACCAACCAGACTTTTTGAAGGGCCAAATACAGAGACCCGCTGCACTACGTGCCACAAGGTCCCTAAACGACCCTCCGCAGGTTTTGAATTCAGAGTTATCCTTCTTCTAGACCAGTTGCCATCCAAGGCTATAAAACCCAGTCTGTCCTGCTATTTACCCATAGCTGGAGGGAGAAGAAAAGTATTAATACTTTCCCCAAAAGTTTTAGCACGTAAGTGAATGTATCCGACTGGAATTCGAACTCGGCTCTCCGATTTCTTAATCCGAGTCCACTACTCCACCGTGCCTCCATATATATATATATATATAATGGTTATTTAGAAAACAAGTACTAATGTAAAATCCCACCCAAAAAGATCGCCTGAAACATCATTACTACTTATGTCGTTGTTTTTCTGTCAAAGTGTAAGAATACAATAGACAGATGCAATCTTTATTTGATCTTGTGAACGTTTAACATATTTCCGCTTTTCTCTTGTTCAGATTTCCAACATAATCCATTATATATTATTATTTTTTTGTTTCCTGGATGCTTAGAGCGTGAGAGAATACATTTTTCTATTCATTTGTACCTTGTGCCCCCCATATATATATATATATATATATCCGAAAAATGCTATTAGAAATGAGTTATTGTTTTTGGAGCGTGCAGTCGCAACGCTGAGTTTGAATTTAAATTTTACAATTGTGCGTTCTTATACAAATATGGTGATAAGTGAATTCTTTTTTACTGGTAAATTTTCTGTCAAAGTGGCATGAACTTTATTGTTCAATAATTACAGTAATGTCGCACTTATTATCCAAAAGTTGCATTTGGATCAGTTATTTTAATTTCAATAAAGGTGCAATTAATTTACAAATTCATGAATTATTCATACAAAAAACAAATACAAAGGTTAATGATTTAATTGGCGAGAAATCCATCGTCGCGAACAATTCAAATAATATACAAAAACCCCGAACCTGTTTATGAATGAAAAGATCCTTGTTTCTATAAATTTCTGTTGCATAAGTTATTATTTTTACAAGCTTTCGTCTGTTCCTACAGACATCCTCAGGTATGGAATAGATTTTGTTTCTTGTTTTTACTCTCAGTAATAAGAGGACAACGAAAATATATGTATTGTTATAATCCGAAAAATGCTATTAGAAATGAGTTATTTTTGGAGCGTGCAGTCGCAACACTGAGTTTGAATTTAAATATATATATATGAGAAAATGAAAACTTTAACATTTCATTGTTTCCACATGTTCAACATTTCCTCTCGGTACAATTGCAACCGACTCTCACGTTTTATTAAACATCACGCTGAAAAACCGGTTCCCGCATGATCACCGAAGTTAAGCAACGTCAAGTATGGTCAGTACCGAGATGAGTGATAGCTTGGGAATACCGGGTGCTGTTAGCTTTATGTGCAGAGTGTGTGATAGATAACGGGCCGGAATTGTTAATCGGAGAGCTGACTTTCAATTCCAGTTGTGTTTGTTATATTTACGCACAAACATCATTGGAAAAGATATCAAGCCATCTCTTCTCCTCTTGCTATGGGTTAATTAGTAAGACTTGTATCATTAAATCATTATTATCTAAAAACAAAAACAAAATAATCTTTCAATCTAAAAGTATTTTGTGGCTTTAAATAACCTGCAAATTGTTGATAAGCCGTAAAAAACGAATCAATCAATCAGTTGCGTTTTTATACCTCCCACTCCTAAATAATTATGTCAACAAAAATTTTACTTTAGTCCGATACAGTCCTCTCAGACCACGAAAAGCGGGTTTTTTCCACTTTGTTATTCATTTGCCTTATATATATATATATATATATATATATATATATGTGTATATGTGTGTGTGTGTGTGTGTGTGTGTGTGTGTGTGTGTGTGTGTGTGTGTGTGTATATATACTAGGTAGAGTTAGAAGTAATTTTCCTTTCTGTTGGGAAACACAAATGTATCATCTTAACTAACCATTGATAAACGTCAATAAAAAATGGCTGATATATGATAATGTTCAATCAATGGTTTGACAAGGATAAACTTCCACAACTGACACCCTAAACTGAAATGGAAGAAAGTTTATGTACGTGTGGTGGAATTGTCAGGTATTATTCTTTACCGTTCTTAAAAGGCAATGATACATGAAGTGCACATTTATATGTCCAGTATCTGCAACTTGTTCATAAAGCACTCTACGCTCTCCAACAGGAAAAAAAAAATTTTTGGAACTAGGTCGGTTTTGTTACCTGATCTTTCACCAACCGATTCTTCATGACAACGTAAACGAAAATTTTTTTTTATATCAGCATCTATCAAGAATAACATAGTAAATATTTTTGGAACTAGGTCGGTTTGTTCTACTCCCAACCCCGCCATATTTACATGATCTTTCACCAACCGATTCTTACCACGCTTTAAAGGCAGAACATTTCTCTAATGTAAACGAGAAAATTTTTTTTTTATATCAAAACCTGCGAAATTTTAAATTGATGGCGAAGAATGGTGAATATATGAATAAAATGGAATTGTACTTTTTTTTTTGAAGGATAAAGTTGACAAAAAACGGAAATTATTTATGACCCATCCTCATATATATATGGAAGATTGAAGTTTATAAGCGGGTAAATTCGACCTTGTCTGGGAACAGGACGCTCCAATTTTGAAAGTATTTGGCAGACGACGACGGTGCGTCGATAAGGCACGTCAGCGTAAATGACGGTTCCGTATGCAAGGGCGAAGGATGTATATCAGGTTCGAATCCTGTCAAAGGACGAATATTTTCTATGAAAATTTCTCTTTAATGGAGGAGGGGACGTTAAACATAAAAATGTCTTTAGTTATATATATATATTTGTCAGCGAGACTGGATTTGTTTTGTGAATATATATATATATATATAATTATAAAGTGAACATTTAAGTCAACACTCAGAACTCCTGCGTTCGTGGGTAGGGAACTGGAGGAGAAGGCAGGAATGATTGTATTGTTTCATGCCATAACCCTGGATCTTAGACGCCAAATCGTCAGACCTGAAACAGCCTGTTGAGTTCGGTAGACTGTTTCGTGATGGCTTTATATTTACATACTATCTTTTGATATTGAGATTAGCTTCGAAGATTTTATCTCATAAATATAGCACACCTTTAAACTATATTTTTCTTTTTTTTATATATATATATATATATATATATATATAATATATATATATTTGAAAATTTGGATAGATCGAACTGGTTGAATGAGTTTGTGACCCTGGGTTTCAATCTTTGGAGCCAAATTTGCGAGACGCAATACGTTCGATCATCAGACAATTTTATTTATATTTATATACAAACACTTTCCTACGATGGCGGCTGTATATATATATATATATATATATATATATATATATATATATATATATATATATATCTATATGTATTATTTGCTGCATAAATATTTGGCCATTATTTAAACATAAACTGAAATATACCTATTCGTAAAAATAGTTTATCTGTGTGAATTTTTGCATAAGGCTTCCTAACATTCTTTTGTCTTATTCTTTAGAATTTAATTAAATATGGCGGTAAAGGAAAACAAAAGGTGCATGTATGACTGGTCAGGCGATTCAAACTTGATGCATTGAAAAAGACCTGGTGTGAAGAGTCTTTTCTGAGGAGATAAAACTGTTGAATATTTGCAGAAAATTGTTTTTTTAATTTGTTCTAAAAAAAAGTTTCAAGATGCTGGGTTGGATCAAAACAACCTCACCAAATGCAATTCCTGGAAGAAACCATTCAGTTTGTATCAGGAGAGTCACTGAAGCTGTCAAGAAGAGGGTGGAGAGAAATCAACGGAACTGTTGATTTTAAATAAACTGCACCTGAAAAAATGGCAAAAGAGTTGCATATTTTAGATAGGTCACTAAGGACGATTGTGGAAGAGGTTTTAGGTCTAAAAACCATACATGATTCAACGACGATACCAAATCTCAAGTGCCTCCAAGAAAAAAACGGCTTGGTAGAGGGAAGAACATGGAAGAAATGCAGCATATCGCAGACAAGGGCTTCGTTTTGATAGGCTAAAAGGGCTTCGTTTTGATTTTTTTTTTTTTTTTTTTTTACTGTACAGGTTACGGTGAACTATCAAAACGATAGGGTTTAAGACACTTCCTTAAACATCCCCGAAGGTGTCAGAACACATTTCAAGCGACAGAAACTAACTGGTGTCATAGTTTGGGTTGAAGTTATTTCTGATTGTTCGAAATCGGTTTTCATCGAAGAAAAAATGAAAATGAATAGCAGAGTTCACCAGCAAATGTTGGAGACAGATGTGTAGTTTTGGTTGTCAGACATATTGAGAAGTTGCTATGCCTTCACTCAATCGTAACTCCTGCAAAATCAGGAAATCTGACGTACAACTGGTGCAAAAGACATTTCTGTGGATTTTCTGACAAGACAATTTTCACCAAGTCCTGCCATTAATCCTGTGACCCAAATTGGAGAATGCAAGCGTGTCAAACCTGAAAGAAGCTCTTATGACGCTGTTGTTTAATGTGAGTGAAGGTGAAGCCCTTAAACTCTTAACAACTGAAATGCATGCCTTATGCATTTAAGTTGAGAAAAGGTTAAGGGCAATGAGGAAAGCAATGGGCGGCCATTTTGAATTGCAAGTATATATCTCAACTATTCGACCGGATTATTGCTGCCATATATGGTCTGTAGCTCCTTCTGTTTGTCTCAAGGTCTTTGATAAAACCCAGAGACGGATATGCAATGTAATTGGCACGGATCTGGCATCTCGTCTGCAGTCGCTCTCTCACAGACGTGCCGTCGCCTCCCTCTGTCTTTTTTACAAATACTTTCACGGTAACTGCTCCGATGAGCTGCTTTCGCTGGTTCCCAGACTTCATGAATTTAAATGTTCAACTAGGCTGGCATCTCGCTCACACTCTTTCACTGTCGAAACTGTTAAATGTAGCCGTCTCTTCTACTCCAATAGCTTCATGTCCCGCACTTCTCGCCTGTGGAACTTCCTCCCCTTTTCTTGTTTCCCTGATAGTTATAATCTCCAACTATTCAAATGTAATGTCAATCGACGTCTCCAGATGCCCTGATCTATCCCCAATCCTTCTCTTCATCCTTTCTTCTATCACTCCTATTTGATCTCGCTCCAACTCTCGGTAACCCCCTTGTATGCTAATAGCTTCCCGCCTTGCTTGGGGTGAAACGCTTAAAAAATGTCAAATATGACTAATAAATATAATAATCAACCTGTAAACTGTCATAAACCAAAACCTAAACTTTTTATTTTATGAATTAAGTGTCGTACTCAATATATAAGGTTTACCCATACGGATTACCTAATTTTTCAATGTAAATTTACAGATCATTAATATTATAAACTAACTGATTTAAAATATGCTTTTTCGCTACACAGTAATAACCATGTTTCAAAAATGAAAGCTAAAAGCTTCAAATTTAATTTTGTAATTAAATTAAAAACATTAGTTCCATTTCCGCAAACGAAAATCAGTTAACATATATATATATATTGCAAAACTCTTCTAAATAAATGGAATTCTCTCGGGCACTGGTGTGTTTGTATAAAAATAAATACGCTAAAACTCGCCTCCCTTTCTACCGTACGTGAATAGCTTAGGGGTAGAGTCTCCGACTAATATCAAATCAGCTGAGTTTCGTTCACGGCTTGAAGCAAACGTGTGTCTAGCCGCACTGGTGAGCTGTGAAACTGTCTCTCTGTGGATGACTATATATATATATATTGCGACGTATCTTTTTGGAGAGTATCTACTGAATTAAAGATCTCCAGCTATTAAACAATACTTGTGCATGAAGCCTTTACAGTGGTCAAAGGCGGTGCACAGAACCAATTCCACTCTCTAAGCAAAAGATGATATTTATCAAAAAGAAGAGCAAGACGACATCATTGGATGCCATCAAAAGGTGCAGGTGTTATCTCTGAGTTTTCCTTCTCCTAGATGTATGTATATATACATATATGTATAGTTATTTATTCGAAAATTATAACATAAATATGTTATTGATGTGGGGCCAAAGTCGGGACCACAGAAGGAAAACACGGAACACGGATAAGATGTAAGAAATATATATTAACAACAGGTTACAGAGATAGTGCAAGCGGAGCTTACTATATGTTAGTGTCCAATACTGGTAGTCGAACGCGGCTCTCACTGTCTCTCTGTGTCTCTGTCTAGAGTGTTGTGTCGCATACTTAATATAGGCCTGGAAGAGTCTATTGTGTAGGTAGTTCCGGTCTCACAATACCCACCTTCCAAGAGTTTTCTTTTTGAAAAGGAGAGAAAAAATAAAACTGTTAATGCTTTTCCTTTTGGGATTTACGTCGAGCGGTTGAGTAAATTTCCTTTTCCTTCCTGAGCGTCGCA